AAAAAAAAAAAAAAAAAAAAAAAAAAAAATTTTATCACATATCAAAGGCACACACTAAAACAACATGACTCAGCACCACTTATGTTGACCTCAACCTGCTGGGCCGATCCCTCCTGGGCCGATCTCTCCACTGCAAAGTTACTCTTCCTGCCCCCTCTTGTACCTTCCTCCTTCTGCGGGAGGTGTCTCACCATGTAGCCCAGGTTGGCCTTGAATTCAAGGTGATAGCACTTCCTACCTCGGCCTCCTAAGTGCTGCGATTACAGGCCTGCACCGCCTCACCAGGTTTACCTTCTTCCTTTCTGTGGTATACTCTCTGAAAGGAAGTCACTGTGTACAATCCACAGTTAAGAAAGCTCTCTGCTAAAAAAAAAAAACCAAAAATCTCTCTGCTTTTTTTCCCCCAAAAATGAGGTCTCAGTACTTTTTTTTTGAGGTCTCAGTACTTCAAAGCATCATTCTTTAGACTTCCTATCTAGACCTTGAAATCAAACTCCACTGGAATAGAGTTGCCCTCAGAGGAGGGACAGAATCTTAATCAATGCAGCCCCTCCTCTCAAAATGTTGACGTATGCCTAATTTGGGCTTCCCTTCCTCCATCACTCAATTTAGGGACCAGGAAATTGCTGACCTGGAAATGTGGGAAATGATGTTAACACCTTTAATAACAAAGCTGTGAGTAGACAAGTAGGTAGGAGATTCATCTTCAAAGCATTTCATCTGAGCTGCACATGGTGGCACATACCTGCAATCCTAGCACTTGAGAGGCTGAGGCAAGAGGATTGCCGTGAGTTGGAGGCCAGCCTGGGCTACATAGCAAGAGCCTGTCTCAAAAACAACCAAACAAGGAACCAAGCATTTCATTCATGTAAACTCACCATAGCTCCCCGCTAACTTACAGGATGATACAGCCCTAACTTAAGCCACTGGAACATACACACCTGCCACTCACCAGAAGCTGCCCAGATCAACTCACAGGTGCATACTAAGTACCCACTGGGGACATAACCCTAAGCTAGAAGGCTGACGGCTTACTATAGATGAGTTTTATCCTGAGTGATTGCCATTCTACAGAACTTGATCATGTCTACTTATCCTAGTCAGTAAGACATTATTAGTAAGCTCCAGCTATGTCATATTCATCCCAGTATCTCACAGTCAGCACACTGTTAGACGTAAAGTAGACACTGTATTGTTCTCGTGGCCTAGAGCAAGAAAGGAATCAGTTCACAAAACAGCAAAGTGAGCCTGACCCTCCACTCCCACGTCTAGGTTCTCTCAGGCACATAGTAGGTGTTCAAGACTGTAAGTTAAAATAACTACACACCAGCTAGGGGCTGGGGATTTAGCTCAGCGGCACAGCGTCTGCCTGGCAAGCACAACGTTGTGAGTTTGATTCCCGGTACCGGAAAAAAACAAAACAAAAAAAAGTAGTGATAACTACACACCAGCTACTACAATATTTGTCACTTTAGGCCCTCAAAACCTGTTTGTTAGAAGAAGAGCATACACGACTTCTAAAGCATTCTGTAATCATTGCTTCATAATGGTAGGTCTAGATAAGACTTGACTGATTGGTGCCCTCTTGTGGTAAAGAAAATAATTCCTACCCTCTATAAATCTGCCTTATACTAGTCACCCAGGATAAGGAGTCCATTACCTTTTTATTCCAGAGAAAAGATATGAAAATCTTGGTAAGAGAACAGGAGAGGTATTTGCTTCAAGAAGGTTAGTTGTTAATTGAAAGAATGATTCTTTTTTTTTAAAGAATGAGTTTTTTAAGAGTCTAGCATTTTTTCATTCAACCTGTTAGCAAGACTTGTACATCGACCTTAGAAGCCACAGCTTTCCTCTAATAATAATAGTTAATATTTTTGCCAGGCGTGGTGGCACATACCTGGAACCCCAGCACCCAGGAGGCTGAGGCAGGAAGATCACCATGAATTCAAGGGCAGCCTGAGCTACAGTGAGTCGAGGCCAGTATGAACTACATAGCAAGACCCTGTCTCAATAATAATAATAATAATGGCTAATATTTACTAAGAATCACTACTACTGGTTCTTTATGTGAAACATTTAATTCTCACAAATCCAGTACATGGTCATTAGTAAAATACTCATTTTACTGAATAAAGTAAGGCTCACAGAGGTTAAAAGTTACCCAAGGTCACTTGGCTACTAAATGCCCAAACCTAGGGATAACCTCAGCCATCCCACTTCGCTGTGACTGCTTGTACCCACTGTGTAGTAATGTTCAAAGTCTAATGTACTCACAGCGTCTGCATAGCATAACACCCCCAATACTGTGTTGCAGATAATTTGTTCACTTCCTGCTCCAGCCCCTGAGGTACTCTGCGGAAAGAGGCATTTGTTCCTTCATTCTTTCAACAAACACATGAATGACTCTAATGTGAAGCTCTTGCCAGGGATACAGTAATAAGCAAAACAGAAGTACTTGGTCCCTGCCATTATGAAGGCTACATTCTAGTGGCTGATACAGAAAGACACAAACGAGTAGTTAATAAATAATACTGTTACATGTTCGAGGAGTGCCGATGAGTGACTAAAGCTGTGGCTGAATACAGTAAGGCAGGGTGTAGCTCTACAGGGAGGCAAGGGCAGGAGGGAGCTGTACTTTTCCGGGGGGAGTGTAGCAGGACAGCATCTTGCTAAATTTCCCAGGTGGAACTCAAATTTAGTCTTCCTATCTCATCCTCTCAAGTGCTGGAAGTACAGGCATTCACCACTGTGCCAGGCTGAATTTATATTTAAATATATAAAGGGAGCCTAGCCTGGTGGCACACACCTGTAATTTTAGCACTCAGGAGGCTGAGGCAGGAGGACTGCCTCAAGTTTGAGGCAAGTGTGGGATACATAGTTTAAGGCCAGCCTGACCTACATAATGAGATCCTACCTCAAAAAACAAAACAAAACAAAAAGAGAACTGATGGGAGAGCAAGAGCATTCTTCCAGGTTTCTGGTTTGTGATCATCAAGTCTTATTTAACTGTACTTACTTTTCCTCCCTTTTTTTTTTTTTTTCCTGGTACCGAGAAT